TCCATAAGCACGTATGACTATATTTGGAATACATGCCTACATTACATTGACGAATTGGAGCTAGTTCTCTGTCACCCTATGTTATGATTGTTACATAATGAACCGCATCCGGCATAATTATCCATCATTGATCCGATGCCTACGAGCTTTCCATATACTGGTTTATGCTTATTTACTTTCTCGTTGCTATTGTTACAATCACTACAAAATACCAAAAACACTACTTTGCTTTCGTTACTTTTTTGTTACCGTTACCATCACTATCATATTACTTTGCTACTAAACACTTTGCTGCAGATACTAAGTTTCCAGGTGTGGTTGAATTGACAACTCAGCTGCTAATACTTGAGAATATTCTTTGGCTCTCCTTATGTCGAATCAATAAATTTGGGCTGAATGCTCTACCCTCGAAAGTTGTTGCGATCCCCTATACTTGTGGGTTATCACCCATCATATGAGCGCACGCGTGGATCACACCATAGGGTTAGTTGTATGTTGATTGGACTATGTATTGGAGGATAAGAGTGACAGAAGCTTCAACCTAGCATAGAAATTGATGCATACGGGATTGAAGGGGGGCCAATATATCTTAATGTATGGTTGGGTTTTACCTTAATGAATGTTAGTAGTAGCGGAAGCTTGCTAATAGTTCTGATCATAAGTGCATAGAATTCCAAGTCAGAGATGACATGCTAGCAACGGCCTCTCCCACTTAAAACTTGCTATCGGTCTAGTAAAGTAGTCAATTGCTTAGGGACAATTTCGCAACTCCTACCACCACTTTTCCACACTCGCTATACTAACTTTATTGCTTCTTTACCTAAAACAGCCCCTAGTTACACCTACAAAGTACTTCTAGTTTCATACTTGTTCTGGGTAAAGCGAATGTTAAGCGTGCGTAGAGTTGTATCGGTGGTTGATAAAACTTGAGGGAATATTTATTCTACCTTTATCTCCTCATTGGGTTCGACACTCTTACTTATCGAAAGAGGCTACAATTGATCCCCACTTGTGGGTTATCACCGTGTGGATCTGATCCAGAATCTGCGCTCGAGCGCCACGGCGGGGTGGCAAGCAGGCAAAGGTGCGGCAGCGACGGCGAGTGGTGCGACCGCGGGGGCGAGTGGTGCGGCAGCGGCGAGGGGGATTTGGCTCGAGCATAAGGTCGAGGCGAGGAGGCGGAAGTGTGTGGGTATTTTTTCCCAGCGAATCGTTTTTTCCTTGCATAATTGTTTTTACTTTGCAGATTAATGATGGATTACGGGTTTAATACACAAAACCACAAGGGCTTTTCTGTAAAAAGTGTGTGACGGTGAGCGGTTTTATATTACTAGCAAAAGGGCTCGTGCGTTGCAACGGGAGAAAAAATTAAAGTGTTCAGAATAACACCCGGCAACGCAGCATGACGGGGGTAGGGATGCATCGTGCCTAGGTAGAAATTCATCTCATGCTTTAATACCCATTACTGTGAAATATTCTTACCACCGGATTTCAAAGTAGCCCCGTCTAATTCAAAAATTTCCTATGGGTGACTTCATCAATTTCAAATCTCATTCATTGGGGTGAGTGTACGCCAGCGCCTGCATCTATACTTTTTCCTTCAACCTTTGTATGCAACAATTTAATGTGTCATCTAAAAAAAGTAATTTAATGTGTCCATTTGCATCGAAAGAAAAAAATTGTCGAACTTTTCTACCGACACATTCGTGTTGCCACTTTTCATGTTCGTCACCATCGTCGATGATGGTAGGATTTTGGCATCCGCAACTGGAAAAGATTGATGAAGCTGTATTCATGTCATTTGACAATGTTTCCTTCAGTTTCACACTACATCAGATGAAAGAGTAGTGGTGTATTGAAGTTGGATTTTTCATAATTTATTAAAATATTTGATTGCAAGCGGGTTTTTACGATGTTGAATTTTCTTTAAGAGAAGGACGCGACTAACTACCAGACGTACTGATTTTAAGAAGAGATGCGGACGACCCGTACTAGCTTTGATCTGGTGAATGCAAGAGGAGAGTGAGGCTGAGGCATGCATGCGACCCAGCATGAGGCGCGAGTGAGCACCTCATTTTTGAACATGCATGCATATACCAACAAATTTGATGATGTCAGCAAATATTCCTTCAAAAAACAAACTTCAAAATGATTTGTAGGTCAAACCGTCGGGCGGATTGGAAAACCGTTTTCACATAAAAAATCATCGCGACGAGAGCTTCGAAACTAGATCCCATGTTGGTATGTTTCAACAACTTTTTTTTCAGGCCAAAAGTTACCACGCTGAACTACGTAAGTTATCACGCATGCAGTACGTAATTTATCAACCGTATGGCAGGATTTTAGCGATAGATCTGCACGATCCCCTTCAATGGCTCCCGCTTCCCCCTTTCTCCCCCGATCGATTAGTTTGAAAATAATAAAAAACACAAATTGAGAAGAAAAAAGTGTCCTATATGGGATTCAAACCTGCGTCGGGTAGTAAGGACACACCAAATGCTAATACCAACAACCATTACACCAACCTACAAATATTGTTCAATGCTTGAAAACAAAATCGTCTAAACTCTTTCTCACCATTGTCAGATGACAAAAAGAAATGTATTTTCCTCAAAAAAATTCCACTGCATAAATGATGATGTACTATACGTGTGAATGTATAGAGGGGCTCCTCTATGAATTTTTATCAGGGTCAGGTACATAAGTTATCAGGTCCGGGATGTGTGAGTTACCATGTTATTCACACAAAAGTTATCGAGGTGATGTTTTATCAACCCCCCCCCCCACCACCACCACCACCCCCATCGCCAAAGTTATTAGGACCGGGATACATAAATTATCAGATCTATGATGTGTGAGTT